GCTGCACGTTTGGATCACATCTATTGTACAGTGGCTACTGTGAGGGAAAATACGCGAACAGCCGGAAGTTGTATCATGTGATGATGGGAAGCGATGTAGGAGGGGGGTGATGTCCAACGTCGGAGCGTGGTCGCAGACCGGTTGATGCCCAACAGTAGTTGGAACGTCAAAGACTTGTCTTCCTTCCAGCTTTCGAAACGTTATCTTTCTCACGATGATCCATAAAGAGCGTTAGACAGATCATGATCACGATGACCCTGATAAGGCCAAACACCCGAAGGTTATGGTGGCCTGGGGGGAAGGGCACCGGCGTAGTGGCCGAGTTCGGAGCGGTGCGCACGAAGCACCCCTCCCCCCGGCTGATGTGAGCCGGCCTCGCTCGTCCAACCCTAGGGGGGTTGGTATTGCAAAACAATGGTGATGGTTGGCAAGAGGCCAAGTTCCAAGTGCAACCGCAGCAAGCTGGTTGCGCCCGCTATCTACCTCTGGTTGCAAAGGTGACCATATCATGACCGAATCAAGCGCAAGTGAGTTTATGTGGCGATAAGCCTTTGCGAACGTGGTGTTGATGGATCAATATCATGGAGATGTGAAGTGTGTTTGGGTTTCTTTGGGGGCCACGCGCATCGGCCAACACGGACGGCATCGGCTTCGAGAAACCGATCAGGTGACCGCGGTCTTGGGCTCTCCGGGCCACAACTACGGTGCTGCTATCTATAGCAAGCTCCATGTCTGTTCTCCAGGTTCTCCACACTGACGATGGTGCTAAACTGGATTGGGGTATCGCAGACGAGCATGGGTGACTTATAAACCGTCTTGCAACTGTACACGATGCTATCATCTTGAGGGGTTATCACCAGAAGGTTCTTTCATATCCGTAATACATCATTGTTATTTACATCTCCTTTCCCTTGTCACCAGACAAGAAGGACGCACACATACACACACATACATCATGGATCCCTCACAGCGCGTCGTCATTATCGGGGCCGGCATAGTCGGTACAAATATTGCTGACGAGCTGGTCTCGCGGGGGTGGACCAACATCACAGTGGTCGAACAGGGGCCGTTGGCCATGCCGGGTGGCTCAACATCTCATGCCCCCGGTCTCGTGTTCCAAACCACTGGTTCCAAGACTATGAGCTCCTTTGCAAAATACACGGTACAAAAGCTGCTCTCAATAGAATGCTTCAACCAAGTCGGCGGCCTTGAAGTGGCAGAAACACCAGAGAGACTCGAGGAACTGAAGAGGAAACATGGTTATGCCTCCTCCTGGGGCATCGAGGCCCATTTGCTCACCGCCGACGAGGTCAAGAAGATCTACCCCCTTATCAGCACAGACGTGGTCCTTGGCGGCCTGCACATTCCGACCGATGGTCTTGCATTGGCTGCACGTGCAGTTCAAGTGCTTATCGAGCGCACCCGTAAAGCCGGTGTCCGTTATCTCGAACACACCCCGGTCACGGGCATCACGCGGAGCCAGGGCCGAGTTACGGCCGTCGAGACGAAGAACGGTGCGATTCCCGCCGATCTCGTCATCGCATGTGCCGGCTTGTGGGGTGTCGAGGTCGGTGCCATGATCGACCTGCCGATTCCACTGCTGCCCGTCGGCCACCAGTACGCAAAGACGACTCCCGTGCCAGCGCAGAAGGGAAAGAAGCTTGAGGTGAACGGCGCTCAACTACCCATTCTTCGCCACCAGGATCGGGATCTTTATTACCGCGAACATGGTGAACAGTATGGCATTGGCTACTACGGTCACCGTCCTCTTCCCGTGGTTGCTGCCTCGCTTGGCGAGACACCCAAGCACGTCGATGAGCATAACATGCCATCACGCCTAGACTTCACTCCCGATGACTTCAAGCCGGCATGGGAACTCACCAAAAAGCTCCTCCCTGCCCTCGCCGAGACCGAGATCGAATACGGCTTCAACGGTATCATGTCTTTCACTCCAGACGGTGGTCCTCTCGTCGGCAGAGCGCCCAATCTGGAAGGGTTCTTCGTTGCAGAAGCAGTCTGGGTGACACACTCCGCCGGCGTCGCTCGCGCAGTAGCCCAGCTTCTGACCACCGGGAAGTCCGAGGTCGATCTCGGAGAGTGCGACATTTCTCGCTTTGAACATATTCAACTCGCGCCCGAGTACGTCAAGGAGGTCTCTACGCAGAACTTTGTCGAAGTATATGACATCTTGCACCCTCTTCAGCCGCGCGAGTCACCACGCAACCTCCGCGTCAGCCCATTTCACTCTCGCCAGAAGGAACTCGGCGCTTACTTTCTCGAAGCAGGGGGATGGGAGCGTCCGCAGTGGTTCGAGGCTAACGCAGGGCTTGTCAGCCAGCTGCCTGACAAGTGGAAGCCAAAGAAGCGCGATACCTGGTCAGCGAGGTACTACTCCGATATTGCTGCCGCTGAGGCCTGGAAGACGCGGACAGCGGCCGCAATGTACGATCTAACGCCGATCCGCCGGTTGGAAGTTTCTGGGCCCGGATCAGCCAAGCTTCTCCAGCGGCTGACAACGAACAATGTCGACAAGGCGCCGGGTAATGTCACCTTTACACTTCTCCTTGATAATGAAGGTGGTGTTCTTAGCGACATCTTTGTTGCCAGGCTTCGCGACGACCTATTTCAGCTTGCCGTCAATGGCCCTGTCGATCTCGCTTACTTGGAACGAGAGGCTCGTCTCCAAGTCAAGACGTCGCCGACCCAGTTCGTTCACGTCCGCGAAACTACCGGAGGTACGAGTGGTATTGGTCTCTGGGGACCCCGCGCTACCGACATTATTGCTGGTATTAGCTCAGACAACCTCAAAGACATGCCTCAGTCGCAAGTCAAGACAGCCATCATCGCTGGTCTCCCGGTTACTGTCGTGAGCCTGTCATTTGTTGGTGAACCCGGCTGGGAGATTTATACCAGTGCAGAGAACGGTCTGCGTCTGTGGGATGCTCTTTGGAAGGCGGGTCAGCCCCATGGAGTCATCGCCGCAGGTCGCAGCGCCTTTAGTGCCCTGCGCCTGGAAACGGGATTCAGGACGTACGGCGCCGATGTGACTACCGAGCACAACCCCTTTGAGGCTGGTCTTGACTTTGCCGTTGATCTTAGCAAGGAAGGGTACGTCGGTCATGCCGCTATCAAGCGCCTTGCAAATACCAAGGTGAACAAGCAACTCCGCTGCCTTACAATCAATGACGGGAGCTCTGTTGTCCTCGGGAAGGAGCCCGTGTTCCTCGATGGCAAAGCCGTCGGGTATGTCACGAACGCTGCGTTTGGCTACACAATAGGGCAGCCCATTGCCTATACATATTTGCCTAGCAGTGTGAAAGTGGGCGACGTCGTGGAGATTGAGTATTTTGGAAGGAGGATTGAGGCAACTGTGATGACGGAGCCACTGCGTAAGGCCCAAGTGAGCGAGAAGACGGCTATATCATCACCGAAGAGGATCGCTATCAAGTCAAAGTTGTAATGGGTTGGTTGGTAAAGCGTCTGGGGCGTTTTACGGGCACTACCTTGCATGATAATGAAGCAAATGAACTTTCAATAATAAGAATGTGCGCGCATCGTGAGGGCCATCCTACATAAGAAGCCTCTGGAAGTGAGAAATATCTAAGCAGGGGATTCCACAATATGGACAAGACAGCTATTACCCAAACCTGACGCTGGCGTTGTGACTACCTTGTTTCCTACCATCAATGTAGACAGCAAACTCCACAGACGCCCCCGATGGAATCATCTCTACCACATAAGTCAGATTTTTAGCCATCGTTCCATCGATGGTCTTGATGTCAGGCAAATCCGAAAACGGAACGTCAAGCCTGCAATCAATGTAGCAAAAGTCATTGACCTGAAATGTGCGCCGATCTGGCACTTCCGCCGCTTCGCACTCGCAGATGCCAACAGAGAAATGGCCTTCTACGTCTTCTGTGTAGATTTCATAATAGGATAATCGTACTGGGTTCTTCTGAGAAACATTTTCACCCTATGAACAAGTTTCAGCTGTTAATTCCGAGGTTCTGCCAGGGTGATACATGGGGTAAACTTGCTCTTCTCAGGTACCAGTGCATTTGATTCTTGGCCCTCCAAACCCCCAAGTAGACATCAAACTCTTTGTCTTCTTGAAGGTGCTTTTCCCGATCAAACTCTGCTCGGTAAGTAACCCCGTAGCTTGACCTTGATACTGTTGAGGTCACTTGAATAGGCGCCTTAACTTTGTAGTCAAGGCACTTGATAAGGGTTTGATCTTCAGCTCGGTGGCCATCCAGAAATCCCTTGTGGACTGCCCCTCTGCAGATTGCGGTGCGTCTATGCGCAATATCAGCCTTAGGTGGTCCGCTCTGGAATGACTAGGTGTGAAGTAATAAGTAGTAGTAGTCACTTACGGCTGCACACCCACCGACTGCAAGACTTTCATCCCATGCTGCTTCTTGAGATGGTCATACAGATACGGACTAGCGCCTAATCCTCCGACTAAAATGATTCCCTGCGCGGGGAAGCACAAGTTAATGAATGACTCAAGCGTGTTACGATTGATATATTGTTTTCGGCTTACGGTAATTGTCAAGCCAGATCTCGCCGCCATTCTAGTCTGTTTCGCAACCAGCTTGTCAATCCCAGCAAAAGAGTCTGTGAATGCACTCTGAATGTGAGTTCTATTCTTCTAGTCAGGTAATCAATCTAGACATAATCCAAGATTTGGTTCACTCACTCCTTGAAATGGATTCTTCCGTTCTTGATGACTGGCTCCTTGCAGAAGTCATTGAGATTGAACTCGCTGAAAGCTTCGGCTGGGATTTCAACAATATATTCTCGGTGGGCCAGACTGGGTGCGAATTTTGGCTTGATGAATGCTTCCCATTCATTTCTCATGATTCTCTTCTTCCCAGTGTCACTCAGATGGTGCCATCTTGAGCCCAAGCGAGCTTTGCATGCTCTTTCAAATGCTTCATCAATAAAGATACCTCCGCAAAGGCTGCCTAGTGGATAGGTGTTGTCAGCTTGTTTCTCAGTCATCCAATCACAGTCATGTGAATAGCGTTACCTGTTCCTTCCACTGCTTCGTGCATCGATATGGGATTGTTCTGATCGATTTGGTAGCTGATGAGATCCTACATGTATTGATAATCAGGTACATCGAACATACTCAGAGAGGACCAAAATGTGAAAGCTCAAGAGAATTTGTACTTACCACTGTGCCGCCACCGGCATCGCAGATAATGTACGCATCGTTCTTGCCCACCTTTCGGCCTGGCTCGCTCAAAGTTGATAAAGCCGCAGCTTCAGGCTCAGGTGCCAGAGTCAATCTAGTTTTCCCTGCTACCCGTGAACTGAGGATTCCTGCCTTCTCCGCGGCTGTCTCCATTGCCTGCCTTGCATAACCCTTCCAGATGGCAGGTACTGTGATGACTATGTGCAGCCTCATGGCGTCAACGACTTCTTCCCCTCTCGCCTTAGTAATGGTATACATCGCATGATTGAAGAGTGCCCGCAGAAAATCCGCCACGAGCGCAATAGCAGTCTTTCCAGAGTCCTTCAACATTCTCTTGCCTCTCAAGATGAATTCAGATGCGCACAGTTCTGGACCAAGATCTTCGTCTTTGAGGAGTAGAAGTTTGAACCAGCGAATTGGGTCTGCATCATCAGGGATATCATATCCCCACATCATCGTGTCGTCGTCATAGTAAAGCTCTGTTGGAGCTTTGCCTTCTTCGGGACCCTTACCAGGCCAGTTGGTGATGATGTTGATGTGGTCATTTTCGAATTCTTCGCTCGTAGCCCAGGCTACTCCAGAGTAACTAAGTAAGAATCACTACATTGAGTATCATAGTCTCAAATTCGAATTGCAAGGGGAAAGAGGGGCTAAATTTACATACGTCGTCCCAAAGTCAATTCCGATGACAAGTAAGTCATCATCTTCCTCACCATTTGATACCCTTCTTTGCCCACTGTGAGATTACGCCCCGTCAAAAGGAAAATTGCGTTGAAGACTAACCGGGACTTGGACATTGTAGGCGGGTCGCATAATAGAATGTAATGCTTTTTCGATGAACTGTGTGGAGCACGTGAAGGGAAACAGTAAGTAAAAGGCCTAGATGCAGGTTGGTGTCCAATGATTCACATTCGAGGCTGGTCATTGTGGAAACTTTGCTGCCTTTTATGGTCGACAGAGAGGAATATACAGCGTACGTTGGCGGCCTGCGGATGAGTGCTCAGAAGACAGATGTGTCTGTCAAGGCAGGCTGTGCTAAAGATATTCATGGGGGCGGGCGCCTACATTTCAGGCTGACCACCGTTCTGGCCTTTTTCTCAACTACCACAATCAATCAAATTGCCTCCGCCATGAAGACTACTACTACTAAATGACCGAAATTCAGTGCATGTCTTACCATCGATGGTTGAATACCACATATGTCGCTTTTGGCGGATGCCGTTATGGACAACTATCTACATCATTACGCTATAGCTACGCCCTTTTCACTGCTGGAAGCAATCGATGTTCTTCAATTACTGTGCTTCGTTTGGATTCTGGAAACATCACCGATGCAGGCAGCAGGCTGCCGGGCTATACGTATTGGTTCTTGATCAGGCTCTCATCTGAATCGACATGTCGTGAACCCTGCATTTTCCCCTTCTCGGCGCTTCGGCACGAGTCTGCGCTGGCTGTAGTTCCTGTTCGCCTCAAAAGCTCTAGCCAGACTAGTATTGACTGTTCCGGAAAGTTTGCAGCTGCAAATATCCTAATGCACAACTCCCTTGCCTTGTCCCTTTTACAGGCTCTGAGTTTCGAGATGCAGTCTGGTCCCACGCAGCACTCTTCAGTATGGGGAAATTCCGGCATACTCAACGATTTTCTTCCATCCCCGTGCTGCAGGATCAAATTTTTAAGGCAACGAAATTACAGGCGCCATTCGCTGACACGACGAGCCTAAACGCCGTTGAGCCTGCCTTATCACACCACAAAGCAGTTCGGTGAATATAAGCTAACCTGCAGCCGGGTCATTTGGTGCTTGGCGACTTCTAACTGATCAATCAGGATGTCCAGAGTACAATGAAAGAGGGAGCCTACTCGGACTCGAAGGCTTTTTGTGTAACTGTGCCCGGTCCATCAGTGGTTCACCCAATTGATTTTGCCTCGTAATGCATGCATGCAAGGAGCGCCACACCAGCTTCTGTCAAGAAGTAAGCATGTCCAAACCAGCAGGCCAGGCTCACCAAGCTAACCGACCGGCATACCCAATAATATTCCAGGGCTTTCGTGGTTTGCTTTACCCCCGCAAAGTGATGATCCGCCGCCGTCGATTTAAGGAGAGCCAGCTCATCTGACAGTTATGCTTCTTGAAAGCTACAAAGGCGAGATTATACCTAACTTTCTGCTTTCTAGACAATGCCAAGCCCATATTTGAGGCAACGAGAACATTCGCATCTTTTTCCCAGCCTTTCCATCATGGCAGAGAAGAGTTCAAATGCTTACGGTTCATCTGGCCGACCGCAAACTCGCCGGACATGGCCACGCGATGGTGACCGATCAACTTCAAAGAGCGAGCTTCACCGCCCAGACAGTTTTCAGTACCTGGATTCCTTCGATACAGAGGCAGCCAGAAGTCCTTCGTTGACATGGAGGAGTCAAAAATCATCAAGATCTGTAAATACTACGTATTGTTCCAGATTTCAATTGACAGGGGGAACCAAGAACCATGGAAATAATACACTTTGCTAACCTTCAAGAAACCTTTTACAGTCTACCATTGATACCAACTCTATTCCTCAATCTGAACCCGAATCCCCCGTCGAACTCGACCTAACTAGCTTGGGCCACACATGGGATCAGAGGCCAACCCCCAAGACACGTGAAAATGAAAGAATAGAGAATGGATTGGATGGGAAGGACGTCACGCTAGAGTCTTTGAAACTCGAGCTGCAGCAGAAAGATGCCGATCTCGCTGATATGCGTAGACGCTGGAAGCAGACAGCCAAGGAGCTGAACAGGCTCAAGATGTCACAAAAGAGAGAATTTTATGAAGTGACAGATCGGCACCTAGTGGAACTGGCCACCATACTACGATACAATATTCGAGACCTTGCAATTCGATATTTTGAGGGCAAGATAAGACCTCAGGATTCAGTCCACGAACTCAGAGGATCCAGATTCCTGCAATACTTCGGCCGTATTGTCCATGCTACAACAGTACAGAACGCCCTACTAAAGTCTGGAAACAGACGCTCGAGCGTTATGCAAGCGTATTTGTGGGAAATTCTCACCGCAGAGATATTCGGTCGATACCTTTGGACAGGATCCGAGCTATCCGGAGCCATTCAAGTCTTGAATGATCATATGAAACAAGGTAGGATGATAGAATTCGTTCCATCCTCACCTTGCGACATTTTACTGAAATAAATTGCTATCAAGACAGATGTCCAGTTGCCAGGTTTGACGTCGAGTCCTGTCGGGGTTTCCAACTGTGGAGTACAGAGACGACGGGTATGATCCTGCACACCATCGACGCGAAGAAAGAGTCCGCAGTCAGGTGGTTTGTTGAAAACACGGTACGAAATATAGCATCCGGTATAGTGGATGCAGTTGCTTCTCTCATCATCGTTGAAAATGATGAGCTGGGTCTGGAGATTGAAAGGATTCTTCATGAGGCTCTAGCTCTTGATAAGGAAGTCTGTAGACAAGTTGCGCGTGTGGATTGGATCACGTACGAGACACCGATGATCTTTGATCCCGAGCAAATGGAATGGGAAGGTGAAGATGAGGCGGGGAGACGAGATCAAACAGTCCGCCTTGTTGTGGCCCCAGCTTTGAGAAAGCGAGGGAAGTCAACTGGAGAAGACTTCGATCTTGATCGAGTACTGCTCCCCATGGTCGTTTCACGTTTTAACCCTGGAGACTGATTGAACACGACGTGCCGAAATTCCTGCGAGAACTGAGATCAGTCGAGGGGTGATGGACTTGGATAGCGAGAGTTTTCGAGGTTTAGGATATCAGGAGGGATCCGGGACTGATGTGGCATGATGTATGCAAAATAGTATGCCGGTCAATACATCCCTACGTAGTCCGTCCGATCACTACACCCTGGTATGCACTGGTAGATCGCGCCCCGGGTGAAATTGTCCCTCGTGTTGATTAAATTATTCTTCCACTAAAACTTGACGATTATCTTTTTCCCTGACACCTTTCCCTTTCGCAATTGGTCTAATTCCTCCAGCAAGACGTCAATACCACCACTAACTTCTTTGATGGGGGGAGGTCTCAGAATTTCAGTGAGCTGTGGAAGTATTGCGTAGAACCGCGCGAGAGCCTGTCGATGTTCTAAATCGACTGGAAACTTGGGTCCAATTGGGGGCAGCCAGGCAAACTCTTTACCAAAGACCGTATAAAGCATGGTCATGTCATACTTGACACCTGGAACCTTTGAATCTCCTTGATCAAGCAGTGTGACAACCTTGCCACCCTTGGCTTGCAGTACTTTGGCCGTCAGAGGACCAGTGCCTTTTTCTGAGATACAATCTAGAGCCAGGCTGATGTCTGGGAAGGCTGATACGACTTCCTGAACCCAATTCTCCGATCTGTAGTTGAAGACGTGGTCGGCTCCATAGCTCTTGACGAGCTCATTAGAATGTGGAGACGCTGTTGTGACCACGGTGCAGCCCGCTAACTTGGCGAGCTGAATAGCAAAGAGGCCGACGCTGGTGGAGCCTGCGTAGATGAAAACGGTCGGTCGCGGTGCAGATTCCTCGGGATCTCTCTTGGGCTCATCAGGCCACGGAAGTCCAAGGTGCACGTTCATCGCCAAGACGGCAGTGACGGCTGAGACACCGTAGGTTGCTGCAGCCTCATCCGAGATACCTTGAGGAATCTTCCACGCCAGGTCTGCCTCGGCCTTGAGATATTCCGCGAACGCGCCCCTGTCGTGATGCAAGCCGCCATGAACAACACCAGCTACACGGTCTCCCACCTTCCATAACTCTGTCGCGGACTTGCCAACTTCAATCACCTCTCCTGCGTAGTCGCAGCCGACGATGCAGTTCTTGGGTGAGATGACGTCAATGTGCTTATAGTCGCTTGGATTGAGAGCCACAGAGTTCACCTTGACCAGTATCTCTTGGCCGGCGATGACAGGATTTGGTACGTCGATTACATGGGCTCCCTTGAAGATGGACTTTCCCGAGGTAAGGTTGAAGATTCGTGCGGGCGTGCTACGGTTTGACACCAAGGCCTTCATTTTGAGGAGTCGAACAGATCCGATAGATAGATAACTGTGGGGCGTTTTTTTATTTCTATTGTCTTAATAGGATTGTTCAGTTGTTGAGAAGCGCGTGAGATTGAGGCGTGAAGTACAAAAACCCTCGAAAAGCAGGCAAAGATGACTTGATAAATAGGCGGAAAGCTGAGAGCCACGGAGTTTGAAATACTTGAGAAGACGAGCAACACGTGCGGGCAGGCTTTGGAAAAAGAGAGATTGGTTTTGTAAAGTCCGCCTACGTTCTTTGAGTTTCTTCGCAACATCAAGTTTCGCGCGTGGAATTCTCCCGGACGAATCGCGTTCCGTCCATTGGATGACTCAATCCAACGGCCCATGCCATTTCGATACTTTGACATTCGTATATTGTAATCTCTTCCGTTGGGGCGGTCGCTTTCCTAGCAGAGAGGAGGCTCTGGAAAAACGAATTCACCGATTCAAGATGAGGCCAACATTTAAAGACTGGTTGTTTATTAATCATCCCGACCAGATGGTTATCCTGTCATCGCACCCGGCATGATTCGTTCTTAGCATGCTAGCGGACACTAGATGAGCCGACTATAGGCAATTGCAAGCATTCCTATTTGCGGTCATCATTGTTCATGGAATTCCGTAACTCTGCCGACTATTGCCGGCCCCTAGAAGACTACTGGAGGAACATGGTAGGCAGGATGGTAGATTTGTAAGTAAAGCTACTTTCAGATCACCGTAGAAGACTCCATTAAGGCTAGTCGTGTTTGGAGACTTATCTTTCATCTATTTTGATTCCTTGCCACTTGTATCGAACCTCACTCAAGGCTCGTCGAGGTGTTATCTTCAATACGGCTGAAAAGGATAAATATTCTAGCCTCAACTCCCATCCATGAGCCTCCTTATAGGTACTAGAACCATCCTCATTTTCTTCTTCATCTCTATCTCTTTTGTACCCCAAAAGAACTTGAATCTCACGCTATGTCTTTGAAGAAAGTCACTCTCGTTGGTGTAAGTTCCTACAACATTGTCGCACGTTGCTAAGTCTACTAATGATTATTATGTGTGCAGGCTAGTGGTAATGTCGGCGCGGCCGTTCTGCCTGAGTTACTCAAATCTGATCTCGATTTGACTATTCTAAGCCGCGAGGGATCTTCCGCGATCTTCCCCCCGGGTGCCAAAGTTGTCAAAACCGACTACAGTGAGGATTCCCTGGTCAAGATCCTTGCAGGCCAAGATGCAGTTGTCAGCATGCTCCCGATTATGGCTCTTGGAGAGCAGCAGAAAATCGTCGAGGCTGCCATAAAGGCAGGCGTGAAGAGATTCATTCCTAGCGAATATGGATCCGACTCTGCGGTATGGGGTTCCTCTGTGCAGACGATGCAGCACCAGATGCACATTTTTCAACTGACATCAACTACAGTCTGATGAGGTTATTGTGGCCGTCCCATTCTTTCAGCCGAAAAAAGCTCATCTTGATTGGCTGACAAGCAAGGAGGATGTGCTCAGTTGGACCGCCATCATTACTGGGCCTTTTTTCGATTGGGTAAGGCCTGCTAGACTCATGCATTGATTTCAGCGACTCGCCAGCGGTGTCTAAATGCTGACAATCTTGAACTGCTGTAGGGATTGAAGTTCGGGATGACAGGCTTCAATCTTGCTGCCAAGACTGCCACTTTGGTAGATGGTGGTAAGACTCGGTTTACAGCCAGTAATACGGCACAGATTGGACGGGCTATCGTTGCAGTCCTCAAGCATTCCGACGAGACCAAGAATCAGCTTGTCTTCACCGAGTCATTCACAACCACTCAGCTTGAGGTCCTAGCCTCTCTTGAGAAAATAACTGGCGAGAAGTGGAAAACAGTTGAAATCAGCTCACAAGCGATTAGGGAAGATGGGTTTGCCAAACTTGGAAAAGGGGAGATCATGGAAGGCGGCGCCGCTGTGATCATGGCGTTGGTGCTCGGGGAAGGCGGACTTGAAGACCATACGCACGTCAAGGGTGGTATCTGGAATGACCGCCTAGGCTTGAAGACTGAGAGCGTCGATGAGACTGTCAAGGCAGTGCTCAGTCTGTGATGGTAATTCGAGAAGGGTTACAATTGCATCGCAACCCGAGTCGCTCTCGAGTTTATTGTTGAATTACACAGTGTCCATATACTTTGCACATGTCTGCCATTATTCCAAGCAATCAATCTTCACCCTCAAGATTGTATCTCTCAATCGCGGCCTATCTTGGGTGGCCTAAAAAGAGATGCCTTTGCTAAGTCAGTACTGTTCTACGCAACGAAAGACGGGAACTAGAATCTATAATCTTATTCACTCTACATATTTGATCATCAACATTCGGTGCAAAATTCATTCGTCATGCTTTACATTCGATCTTAAGTCCACTTCGGAGTCGGTTCAGAAAGGAAAGCTCTGAGCAATTATGCTCGACTGAAGCAGGCTGCCAAACAGGAGGCATTCGACAATCGGTTCAGTGATCACACCGATGCCGGCTTGCATCACAACTTCAACGATACCCCCTTCTAAGTCCTACGTTTATAGCGCTTCAATAGTAATCGATATTCCATCATCCGCCAATTGAGACAATATAACCCCAGTTACTACAGTAGGCTCGAGCCTTTCTTCATCCCACAGACAGCAAATCCAACGTCATTGGAGACCTAGTGCAAGTATACAATAACACTAACCTCATCTAAAAATGCCTCGAGCAATATGCAATTCTAGTGTGCGAGAAAAACGAGTGCTGTAGCTGTGATACTTTAATCCATTGCAGGCCGGCCTATCAATTCAGACCAATCCTCCCCCTTGATGTAATTCTTAATCGTAGTCAGGTCTCCCTTGATGCCAAGCTGGAAAGTGATGACTGTTAGCTTCGTCTTGTTCGGAATCTTAAACAAAGTCACCTACTTGCTCCGGGTATATGACCGACGGATCATTTCCCCAGTAACCAAACTCCATGGAGTATGCATGCATCTCCCCGATTTCGAGACCAAAACCCCCTGGAGCAAGCTTATCCATATCATCCATGGTAATGGGTTCAAATACTGCAGGAATTCCAGTCGTCTTGCTCCACAGGCTCACATAGTCTGGCCAAGTCAGAAACTCGGAGTAAGCCAGCAAATGTGTGCCTGGGGAAGTTTGAGCTAGTGCCTTGACGTATTTTCCTGTTTCCTGAACGAGAACATGTGGAATTGGATATTTGAGTTCTCCTGGCATACGGAGGACCATCGTGCCGTCTCTCTGCTGGAGCCGGATAATTTCTGATCAACTAAGGTATCTACATGCAACATATGGAGCACGCGAGTGAGTATCCAAAATGCACGTACCTTCACCCATGGAATATTGATGGGACCAAATTTCCAATTCGTCATAAAGAGGCCTAATTGCAGCATGGACATCTTTTTGTACAAATCAGGATAATAGATTCGTACGTGATCAACCACAGCAGCCTTGGAATCGAAGTGGTAAACGTTCTGGAATTTTCCTCCTGACCATTTTCGTGTTGCTGAGAGTGTTGACCAGATGAATAGTTGAAGTGAGTCCAGCTTGGCGACGGCCTCTACCAAGTTCTTTCCTTGCTGAACCTCAAGTTCGTAAGCCCACTCAAGGATAGACTGTCCTATTTTTAGTTGCGGATTCGAGGTTAGTGCCAACATAAAGGGAAACACGGTGTTTCCGAAGACAACACTGGCACCTTGAAGAGCAGCTTTCAGAGACTCGACATCGTCCAAGTCACCTTCAACGATTTCGACGCCTTTAGCAGCCAGCGCCAAGCTATCTGGCTTGGTTGCATCTCGAGTGATTCCACGAACCCTCCATCCAGCTTCTTTGAGGTATGTCTCTGCGACAGAGCGCCCCTTTGTACTCGTAGTATGGTCAGAATTCACTCACAGAAACAGAAGAACATTGCAAATTGCCCACCTGGTTGCCGGTCACGCCACAGACCACTATTAACTTTGACATTTTTGAAATTTTAAAACTTTGGTGGTGTTGATAATTGTTACCTGGAATGTTGGATCGGAAACTTTTGGTCTTAAATGAGACGACGCAAAATCATGATTTTCGCTTGAATGAATCCTCCTGAATCGCCTTGACGACCCCTCACAAGCCCGGTTACCAAACTGGTTGCGTTGTTTCAAAAGGATGAACACTAGATCCCGCGACTCAACTAAAACACCTTTCTCGTTCCATCGGCGCTGTATTGGGCCGAATTCGATTGATAATCTAATTCGTGGATTTGTCAGATAGTCGGGTACTGGAGATGCCCCGACAAAACGTCAGCGACAATTAAAGATTGGTAATCTCCACCGGAGTGCGGACGCTAGGGCCTTAGGTAGCATTCCAAACTTCACCGCCGATCACATATTGTTAAATACGTGTATCATCTATGGTCGAATCAAAGTCTTAAATCCCAGCCAAAGCGTTCGTAAGTGATCAAATTGCGGATACATGTAGTCAGACTACCTTCAGTTTATCTGGTCTGAAATCTTGAGTTTCTCGACAACCACATAGCGGCGTACCATACACATTCTGGTATCTAGTATTGGTCAAAGGGGACCACATGCAACTCATTTGATTTTGTCTGTCCTTCGCCGTCTTCAAATTACCTTGCAAACACCGCGATCCAACTCGCAGTACGCCGTCAACACCACAGTCGCAATGATCGATCAGATATGCCAGACATAACGCGGAAGGGCTAGTGGTTCTTCAATCTTGCTTGAGATATTTGTGAGTTTTTCTGAAACGGGGTGTGTTGATTTACGTGCGATCCCTGCTCTAAGTTGGTATTTCCAAGTAATCAATGTTCGCGCTTAATGCTCACAATTGATAATATCAGCATCATACTCTCTCAATTGAGAGAACTATGAAGCGCTCTGTGAGATATTTGCCCCAGCCTCAGAGAAGTTAAGAGTTGGCGTGTCATATCTTGGGGAGAGGTTGAGACGACACAACTCCTTCCATCGACTTCCAACGACCGCTTAAATATTGAGGGAATTGAAATGCTATGTGTTGATATTTCGGTATGAGGCCCGAAGCGCTTGGATTCAATTAGAACAGCCACTGTCATGATTGCTTGTACTCAATCTTCTCTCTATACATAGATGTGTATGGAACAGCAAAACCCATCATATTGTTTGAGACAGTCACATCAGGTTTAACAGAATAGACAGTGAAAAGGTAAAATATTGAAACCATTTTCAATCATCCAGCGCACGCACCAAAAAGGGCATCGAGTAGACTACAGAAAAATATGGTTGAGTTACAAAAGTTGAAAATGTCACTGCCAATACGCCAAAGTCATTTCAACGAGCTACGTTACCTCAAAGTCTTCCAGCCCCGCTGATTGAATCGAATCATGATTCGAAGGCTCCGGCCACCATACCAATGATCTCCAAGGAATCATATCCCAGAGACAGGGGGTGTGTGGAGCAAAATGGCATGATGCGTTGCATTCACCAACCAACAGCACAGGTCTGTATCCGTCTGGTCCACGGTCAAGCAAACACCCAAGTGGATGTCCTCGGCATGGCCCCTGACTCCTCTCTTTTATTTCGGAGAATCTAAGATCAAAGCTCGCCAACCCCGCATTTGACTGGCTCAGGTCTCAATTGACACAAGACCTCCAGAACACAACCTGATACTCAACGATCATGGGAGAGAACTTTGAGGCACGTCGCATTCGCGTAGGCATCTTGGGCGCCGGTATTGCCGGCTGCTGCCTAGCTGTCGGTCTTCTCCAAAATCCACTCTTTGACGTTCAGCTGTTTGAGAGATATTCAGACATCCGTGTCCGCGGGTCCGGTCTTGCGCCACATGGAAACGCCATCAGGGCCATGGATTTGATCTCGCCCAAGATCAAGCGGGCGTACTTCAAGAAATCGCACTTCATGGCCGGTGACGAGGACACGGAAATGGCAACACAGTTCAAATTGGCCAGTGGTGAATACGCTGGAGTTGTCTTTGCTGAGTTGGGAAGGGCCAAGGGCAGGCGGACCGTTCACCGCGCGCACTTCATACAAGGACTACTTGAAGAAGACGTGGTTCCGCATCAGCGCGTTCACTTCAGCAAGCGAGTCGCTAAGATGAAGGAAGACCCTTTTACACGAAAAATCACCGTTGGATTCGAAGATGGCACTCAAGATGTGTTTGATATTGTTTTCGGTGCAGAAGGTGTCAACAGCCCGACGAGGAAGTTTGTTCTGGGGCCTGGTCACCCAAGCGCAGCTCCAGTCAATCACGACCAATGGCGCCAGTTCCACACCACCGTCCCCATGTCCGAAGCCAAAATGGTCGTCCCTGTAGAGTCAGTCGACACAGTCATTACGTACTGTACACCTTATGGGTTCATCAACGCAATCCCGCTTGACCTCGGCCAGACGTTCAGCGTGGGCTGCTATCAAAGGGACACCAAATGCCCGAAACGTGGGGCTCCATTAGACCCTCAACTCTGGAAAGGTCTACTTCCAGGGGTAGATGCCTTGATATCTGTAAGTTTCATGGTTTCTAGTTATCCCTCATGGCATCATGGTCATCTAAACAGCCACATTCTAGCTTTTAGAGAAAGGGCACACAGAGGACTGGACTCTTCAAGACCATGACCACGCCCCCTCCTACTATAGAGGAAGGGTAGCCATGGTCGGTGATGCCGCCCACGGGACACTTCCTCACTCTGGCAACGGCGCTGCCCAAGCGATCGAGGATTGCTCGGTGCTCACCGGTATCTTCTTGCGCTTGACATCCCTGGACGAGGTTGAAGCCGCTTTCAAAGCTTATGATCAAGTGCGGATTCCTAGGAGTCAAAAAATTGTAGAGATTACGCGAAGTTTCGGGCGACTTTACAGCCGCGATCCTCAAGAAATTGTTTTGGATGAGATGAAGGCCGAGATGAGGGAAGGTGGGATGTACATCAACGGTGTGGATATGGAGGCTCAAGTAGAGAGTGCTGTCGATGCTTTTGAGAGATTCAAAGGGATTCAAATTGATGTTTGAGGAAGGACTCTGATTTAAGAGGCATGAGGTGTTTCAAGACTAGATGGGTGTATGAAGCCCATACCCTCAACATTGAAAATAACATGAAGACTCGCTCGGAAATAGTAGCTCACAATCCAATAGATAGTCTCCCTTGAGTTACTCATGAAACCCAAGGTATCAAGGAGCAGCGTGAAATTAAGTGTTACCGTTGCAGGTCGGTGTACTCGATTTCCATGTATTGAGACTTGACCAGATGAAGGCTCGGATCAATCGCAGGGTCGTACCCGCTTCCCCCGGCGAATCTTGAAGGATCTCTCAAAAAGGTATTGAGGTTCGAGAAATCGATACAAGTATGACTGATAGTGTGCTGAGGTAAAAGTACACGTTTCCCCAAAGACTGAGTATTCACTGACTGGTACCGGAACGAGAGTAGAAGCTATACATCCCTAACCGTTTAATAATCAGAATGTGAGTTTTCGCATCGCGTGCTCTCAAATTCGGCTGCTATCATCGTTCCAAAAGTGAGCACATCGTGGGTTTTATTTGATCTGTATGGGGCAGCCCTTGAGTCTCCCCCAGTCCTCAATCCCCGTCAGGCTGACCTTCAGCTCCTCCAACACAGGCGCCATATCCACCTTGAAGGGCTTCTCCTCGGCATCATTGTACCATGTGTAAGCCCTTCTCGTCTCGTCCACGACGACTTCCAACTCTTTACCGGATTGCATCTGTGACTTCAATGCCGCAGCCATCTCCTCAGAGAATTGGTCCACCGTCTGGTTCTCAAACCCGACCTTTCGGCCCCACGCACGGCCCAACTTCTCGGCAAGTTGAGACAGTCTCACCGTCTCCGGACCACCGACGACTATGTTCCTTCCGTCGAGCTCCGCCGGGTCCCGTGCCAAGGCTGCGACCATCAGGAGCGCCAGATTATCGAGAGAGATCCACGACACCTCGAGGTCGGGTTTGTGGCAGTAGACTATCCGCCCCTCGTCCCGAAGGCGCGGCAAAGCCCAGCCTTCCAGTAGGTTATCAAGGAACACGCCGGGTTGAATCGAAACGAGTGCTACGCCACTGCCTTTGACCTCCTCCCGCAAAATCCGGCGTGTCTCCCGGCGATGCTCCTGAGCTTCAATGCCGACATTCTTCTCGGGGACAGGAAAGCTCGTGTTGAACACGATGATCTTCAGAGTCGACCACTGCGCAGCGGCCTCTGCGCCAATGGTCTTTGCGGCAGCATAGAGGAAATCAGCTGGCTGAAAGGAAGGCAAGTTCAACAAGACGGCTTCTGCGCCGGACAGAGCAGCACGGACGGCGGACCGGTCGGTGAGCTCTGCGATACGGGTCTCAACGGGCGGCGAGGTAGTGCGGGGTTGCCGGCTCACAGCGATCGGATAGTGATTTGCCGCCTTGAGGGCTGAGATTTGGGCGATGCCCTGTCCGCCTGTTGCGCCGAAGACGACCACGCGCATGATGTGGATTTGTTCGCTTGTTGCTGAAGAATTGCTGAAGGATTCTTGGGTGCATGAGCCAAGTCCCCCATCGCCGACAGAACCAAGTTGCGTCGGTTTAATTCACCGCGGCCCTAAATGTTACACCAGAATTGCGGTATCCCCGATTTTAAATCCTACCTAGCATAACGCCATCTCTATGTTGTATTTCGTGCATAATGGACTTGTGAATGAGGAGGTTAGAGTGTTTATATTGTTAGATGGATACCGACCCCTTGCCTGCTGTGACTGCGATGGCATAAGTACTTCCTCAACTGGCTGGAGATAGTTCAACCCAGACGGGCAGAATTTCTAGTTGACAGTAGTCCCATTTCGGTCAAGTGCGTGATTTACTGCGTGGGCTGCGTTACATTGGAGTCATCATGCTAGACCAAGTCTGGTTACCACAAGTTTTCATCTTATCAATCTCTCTACCAGTTACTGACCACCAGTTCCATGGTCATAGTATGAGCTGATATTTGGGGCGGTGAAAGCTGAAGAATTATCCTGTTCTTTATGCTGTTGTCTATGATAACTAGCCTACATTACGTCGTGTTGACCCAACCCGATGCTCACATTGTTACATCTACCCTACTTGCTCTAGGTTATTTCCAATGATCAGCCAAAAGATACGGACTATAAGTGTTCTATTTCCTGCACTTCGAAAACTTGCAAAACGTTCAGTGCTGACTTATCTCGGCATATTTACAAGGACTTTTGCAGAGTTTACTTGTAACGAGAAACATTTGGTCTTGTCTAAACTGTCAGTGTTCAACCGGTGAGCTGCGGATCTAAAACTCTACGCTCATATTTTTATACTAAGCTTTCCAAGTACTCTATCAAATGTGCAACATAATCTGCCCGAAATAACCCATCAAAATCCTTTCCAAATTTTGAAATTAGAAAGTGATCTACACCGCCCAAACACGTTACTCCACTCACTTGTGTTGGCCCTCGCCAATACAGTAGGGAATAGGATAAGTCTTGCTCGTGCAGAGCCGAATGACGCCCTTAACCCAAGACAGCTGGCCATAACCCTGGCTCTCGTATGTGTCCACCATGAAAGTCGTCTTTGTCGGGTTATCCGTGCACCCCGTGAACAAGTTACCCTGTACGCGACGAACAAAAGGCTGGCTGACGATGACGCCGTACATATTCGCCGGGACATCGAATTCGAGGGAGTTTTCCTGAGAAGTAGACCAGGACATGTCCAGATTCATGCCCAAAGACACGCTGATTATGTCTGAGCCCCCGATGGTGATCTCAGAACCGATGGCGAGCGAGTTACTGATTTCGACCCCGTTGGAGACGCTGATGCCGGCGGAGCTACCTTCCAAGGAGGAAGCCACGGGGGAGATGGCAACGTCCCAGTTGAGGAACTCTTCATCTGACGTGACTTGGACTTCGGTGCTCTGCTGACAGCCGCGACGGGTGAGACCAGTTGTGCTTGCGACATTGTATGACGTGATTTGTGCGGGTATGGGGGTGGCAGTCTCGAGAGCATCGTAGTCTGTTGCCTTCATAATTTTGGAGGTGCCGTCATGGCCGAGGAGAATGATATCGTCGGAAGCTAGCATGCGAGGGCGGAGAGGCGTGGCGAGGACGGTAGCCGCCAGACCCAAGACTGCGAAGAAAGCGGAAGGGATCATTGTGTTCAAAGGTAATGAAGGCCAAGCTTGAAGAAAATTCGGATTGTGATTTTGGATTTTTAGTTTCCAGGGCGTCAAAAAGAATGAGGACCAGCGTGGGTGCAAAGAGAGAGAAAGTTGAGACCGGATGAAGACTGAATATTCCAAGAACTAGCTGATGATGAGGGTGACCTTTGACCATTTTATCCCAAATCCTCGCCCCTCCTATCTCGCCTCACATCTCCTGTTCTACCTTCTACGTATTGGCTACAGACCTATTTCTGGCAATAATTCAGAAAACTTAGGGGCCTTGTAATAGCCACCAGTGCCTCGCTCAACCCAGCCTGTATCGACAATATCCAAAAGCAGTCTATTCCGAGAACCGAGAACCTCAAGAACCTCGAGACTCTTTGTCCCAGTAGTCTGCCCCGGTTGTCGCTGTCCACTTTTGAGGCTGAAGGATCTCAATGGGCCCTTTGCTTCAACCAGTAATGGCTCACGGGTCCTAGCCGGATCTCCGCCATGGTCGAAAAGAGACGTGGAGGAAATACTAATCCGGACAGCGGCCGAAAAGTCCCCATGTTTGGCAATTTCACGTCCCTGAGGGTCAGTTACCGATCGGGACGGCCGTGATGGACTTTTGCTCCTTGGCATCAGACGACGGTTTGTGGATCTGGATAGGCGGAAGCAGTGTACAGAGTACGGAGTACTTTTTTGCCCAGCACTCAAATTGTCCGGGAAGGCTATTTGGTCTCGTGACTCTCGTACAATGTTCTGCCGATTCTTGGAGTGCGGTGCTTGCTCCGTATAGTCGCGCAACGAGTTAAGCATAAGTCTAATTTGTATCGGGATTCCAGACCACCAACCTGTATAATCTGTGCCCCCAATGTGCCCCTAACGCGACCCCAGGTCCCCGTATGTAGTACAGAACCAGAGAGATGATTGGTCTCTGCTTCGGCGACGAGTCATGGACTCTCGTGCGACTGTCGGACATTAGTGTCGATGGATGCCCGTCTCAGGTGCCCATGCTCCAGAACCCCCCATTGGCAACCCCATCAGTGCGTTTTTCGGGTATCGATCCGGGCGCTGGTTTTTCTGCCCGGCGTGCTGCACATATGATGGTGGCCCACGCAGTTAAAGTGGTACACGAATTGCCCGAGTGGGATGTCTCTAGCAATGCCTGGCTGGCTGGCCGGGGTCATGGTAAAGTCATCCATTGGACAGCACTTTTGTAGTCTGTAGAGTCGCATTGCTAAGCCCCAGTTCCCCCTTTCTGGGAATTATATAGTACATAACTACATAGCGTTGCAAGCAAGCCTCATCCAGGTTGAAAAGTTTGCGCCAAGACCCTTCTTGGCAGCTTGGCTTAGGTAAGGAGAAAGTCCAACATGTGCACTTTTCCAAAAGCCGTATGTGCCGAGCCGTAAGTATCGTCGGAATGCTGCGAGAAAGTCTTGTTGCGAGCCGGGCTCATGGATCTGCGGAGGTTCCCGACTTTGACCAAGCGAGAAATGAACTACGGTTTGTCTCCATCTGCATCCTCAACTTGCAACGATCAAATGGCAAAGGTTCCTTGTCCTCTGTTCCCGTCACCGAAACCACCTGGGTCTTGAGGCTAGCGTTGAACAAGCATATTTGCCTCAGAGGCTCAGACATGTTTCGTATCTTTTTGAGCGTTCCGTCGAAGGGTCTCTGCCTTGTCGATCCGCTTTCGTTGGTTGGCTTTCTGGCCCAATTTTGGGCAGACCACAGGCTCCAATAGCAGCATGACCCCTTGTCTGTTTAGGCTGCGCTATTATTCAACTTGGAGCGGGCCTATGACTCTGCACGCTCAACGGCAGAGTGATGATTGGTAGAGTTCAACAGAAATTCAGTGGTGGATGCGTAAATCGGGCTACGTTCG